TGGCTGCGGCCACAAGGCTGGCCGCGGCGGGCACCTGTCAGAACGTGATAGGTGCAGGGAGAGTGGACGACACCGCGCTGCAGCTGACGCTGTCCTGACCCCTGCCTCGAAACCTGCTGCTGCCGCTGCTGCTGCTGTGGCTGCTGCGAGGGGAGGGGCTGCTGCTGCTGCTGCTGCTGCTGCTGTCGCTGAGTCAGGTACCACGCCGCTGCTCCACCCCCTGTGGCTGGCAGACCAGTAGGTGGCTGACGAACCCGGGCGTCACCTCCACCAGCTGCAGCAGGGGAGTCACCGGCCGCTGTACGAGACGCTCCTCCAGCCCCTGCACTCCTGCCGCCGCCGCTCGCCACGTCACCCCCACCGCCTCCGCCGCCTCCGCCCGCACCCTGACCGCCCCTCCTGCCACTCCTACCCCGAGACCGCGAAGAAGTCGTAACAGCAGCTGCGGTCACGTCAGTAGCGGCAGTGGCGAGGGAGGCAGTAAAGGTGGGCAGCTGAGGGACAGTGCACCCGTGAAACAGTGGAGGGGGCACAACACCAGAGGCAGATGCTACCCAGCGGAGGTTGCTCTCGACGTCCTTGAGGGCCGACTCAAGGACCTCGATAGTGAGCTTGCTAGGGTGCTTCAGAAGAAATGCGTCACAAACCGAGACAAGGCGGTTAGGGAGGCTAGTGGCGATGAAATAGATAGTAATCGCCATGGGGGGAGGGAGCAGTGCAAGCTGTGCGTCAGTGCAAGCAACGCGGTAGCTAGAATCGAGGGAGCGCAGATGAGTGATCAAGTCAGCAGTGCGCTCAAACGAGGCGAGGTCAGGAAACAGGAACGGAAGGAACAGGCGACCAAGAGAGACAGTGGTGGGAGTAGCGTAGCGGGCCTTGATCGCAGTCAGGAACTCACTAGCCGTGCGAACCTGAGTGAAGTGGGTCTCCTCAGACTCAGGGAGGAGGCTGCTGAGGGCGATGCAGGCCGCAGCGTCACGCGACGTCCACGCGGTCACGTCAGCACGCTCGCGTGCATAACGGTCACTGTCTGCAGGTGTGGGGTCAGCTGCTAAGGGTGCAGGGTCGTCGGGCTTAGAAAGGTCGCCAGAAGCGTGCGCCCATAGAGACTCATCTGCCTGAACCTGACTCTCTAAAAGGCGGCGCGCACGCAGGAGCCAGACGGTGAACTCAAGCGGCCTACCCTCGGCGTCAAAACGCAGGACCCTAGGGGTCGCCATAGCAGAAGCTAAGAGGTGGTAACCGCTGTTGCCGAAACCCTAAACGCCTAAAGGGCCTGCGTAGGGCGTGACAGACAGTGCGGCGCGACGGGACAGGACGCAACTGGCAGGGACGGGCGCGACAGGTGCGGACAGGCAGGGCGCACGGGGTGCGACGGACAGGCAGGGCGCAGCGGGGGCGCGACGGACGGGCAGGGCGCACGGGGCGCGACGGACGGGCAGGGCGCAGCAGGGGCGCGACGGACGGGCAGGGCGCACGGGGCGCGACGGACGGGCAGGGCGCACAGGGCGCAACGGGCGGGCAGGGTGACCGCCTTGTCTCGTTTTGTGACGCGCTTCTTCTGAAGCACCCTAGCGAGCTCACTATCGAGGTCCTTGAGTCGGGCCTCAAGGACGTCGGGAGCAACCTCCGCTCGGTAGCATCTGCCTCTGGTGCTGTGCCCCCTCCACTGTTTCACGGGTGCACTGTCCCTCAGCTGCCCACCTTTACTGCCTCCCTCGCCACTGCCGCTACTGACGTGATCGCAGCTGCTGTTGCAACTTCTTTACGGTCTCGGGGTAGGAGTGGCAGGAGGGGCGGTCAGGGAGCGGGCGGAGGCGGCGGAGGCGGTGGGGGTGACGTGGCGAGCGGCGGCGGCAGGAGTGCAGGGGCTGGAGGAGCGTCTCGTACAGCGGCCGGTGACTCCCCTGCTGCAGCTGGTGGAGGTGACGCCCGAGTTCGTCAGCCACCTACTGGTCTGCTAGCCGCAGGGGGTGGAGAAGCGGCGTGGTACCTGACTCAGCGACAGCAGCAGCAGCAGCAGCAGCCCCTCCCCTCGCAGCAGCCACAGCAGCAGCAGCAGGTTTCGGGGCAGGGGTCAGGACAGCGTCAGCTGCAGCGCGGTGTCGTCCACTCTCCTTGCACCTATCACGTTCTGACAGGTGCCCGCCGCGGCCAGCCTTGTGGCCGCAGCCACCCACCAGGTCAGTGCTTTGCTCAGCTTGCCCCTGAGGGAGACCCCGACGCCCTTGACATACCGACTCCTCGCACTTACGCTGAGGCAGTGTCAGGGCTTGGGCCTCTCAGTGGAGAGCTGCCATGGACTCAGAGATGGCCTCCTACGGATCCACAGACACTTACGTCGACGAGGTTCCCCCCCCTGGGGCGAACGTAGTCGATGGCATGTGGATCTTCAGGGTGAAGCGGCCACCGGGATCTCCTCCGGTCTTCAAGGCGCGCTATGTGGCTAGAGGTTTCAGTCAGCGCGAGGGAGTTGACTTCTTTCAGACCTTCGTGCCTACCCCGAAGATGACCACTCTTCGGGTGTTACTGCACGTAGTAGCACAGAGAGACTACGAGTTACACTCTCTCGACTTCTCTACCGCTTTCCTTCAGGGTAGCCTACATGAGGAGGTCTGGCTGCGTCGTCCCTCTGCCTTCAATGGCACCTTCCCTCCTGGGACCCAGTGGAGGCTGAGGCGACTGGTCTACGGTCTCCGTCAGACTCCTCGTGAGTGGCACGACACCCTTTGTTCTCCCCTGTCTGACCTCGGTTTCCAGCCGTCTTCTGCCGACCCGTCGCTGTTTGTTCGGCGTGGCTCCACACCGTTCTTTGTACTGGTCTACGTCGACGGCCTGGTTTTTGCCACTGCTGACAGGGTTGCTTTGGCTGACGTGAAGCGCGAACTGCAGAAGAGACACACGTGCACTGACCTTGGTGAGCTCCGCCACTACCTTGGCCTGCAGATCACCAAGGACAGAGCCGCTTTCACCATTACACTCTCACAGTCACACATGGTGCAGAAGGTCCTTCAGCGGTTCGAGCTTCAGCACTCCACAGTACAGCGCACACCTCTTGCTGTTGACCATAGACTCACTAGACCCTTCCCTGACGAGCCGTTTGAGCCTAGTGGTCCTTACTCAGAGCTTGTGGGCTGCCTCATGTACCTGATGACTTGTACTCGCCCGGACCTCGCCTTCCCTCTCAGCATCCTTGCTCGTTTTGTTGCGCCAGGGAGACACGGTCCAGTTCACTGGACAGCTGCTGTGAGGGTGGCAAAGTACCTAGCGATGACATCAGGCGTGGGGCTGGTTCTTGGAGGGCAGCAGCCTGTTGTACTTACTGGACACTGTGACTCTTCTTACGCTGACGGCGCCGAGACTCACAGGTCTACTCAGGGGTACTGCTTCAGCCTGGGCTCTGGAGCTGTTTCGTGGAGGTCCACGCGTTCCTCCTCGGTCTCGACCTCTACTGCTGAGGCCGAGATCTACGCTGGAGCCATGGCTGCACAGGAGCTGCGTTGGTTGACCTTCTTGCTCACCGACCTTGGTGAGCGGCCGAGCTCTGCACCGACCTTGTTCACTGACAACAAGGCGTCGATTCTCCTCTGTCGAGAGCCGTGACTGGAGAGCAAAGTGAAGCACATCAACGTCAGGTACTTTCTTCTGCGAGAGTTGCAGAGGCGTGGACAGGCTCGCTTCGACTTTGTGGAGTCCGAGGCCAACACTGCAGACATCTTCACCAAGGCGCTTCCGCCTTGTGACCACCAGAGGTGTTGTGTGCAGTTAGGTCTCGTTGACACAGGTTCTCGCCTTGCGTAGTCTTGAGTTCTCTGCTTGCTTTGTTTGTACGCTTTATATATACCTCTGTGAACTCTTGAACTGGCCTTGTGGCTCTTTTGCTTGTGCTCGTAGTGTGTGGTGACGTTGTGATCCACCCTGAGCTTTGTTTCTTTGTGACTGGTCTTGTGACCGTACACTTTTGGTTTTGCTTGACACCCCTCACTTAGACTATGGGGGTGTGTCAAATGTTGTAGTCTTAGTGATGTGTGTTATAGGGGGTACAACTATTAGGGTTAGGTTTATGTACCCCAACCAACCTTAGTCAAACCAACACTTTCATTCTTGACAGTGCGTTATACACAGCCCTGTAACAAATCTGAATAGCTACATCACTCACACCAGCCTGCATTAAAGTACTCGTATTTATATATAAAATACATAGCAGAGGCAGAATCAAACCCTCTCTGCCTGACACAGCACACAGTGGTGTGACGTGAACTAATCTATTTATTCTGCGCTGCAGTACTGGCATGCAAGCGGGCTCTTGTTGCATGCGTATTAGAGTCCAAGGATTGGGAAGGGGGTTCAACGGCCATGCAACGAGATAAAGAGGCTGTTCGAATTGTCTAGTAAGGTTCTAGGGTGCAGAAATAAGCCCACTTGTTCAGGTACCAGAGGTCGCGCTCCACGAAGGACGGAACACAGTGCACGACCCTCTTGATCCTGGAGATCGGAATGACGGCAAGTCCGCGGAAGAGAGCGGCGGGCCCAAGGGTCTGACAGCCCGTGCAGTCGTCGAACCCCTGTGCGGTCAGCCTCTGCATGACTGCAACCTCCACCTTCTCATAGCCCCCAGTCTCATCAGGCTCTTCTGCGTCTAGCAGCAGGATGAGGCGACCGTACAGGGGCTGCCCGGCCGCAGACTCATACTCCACGCAGGAGAATGCGGTGTGCTCGTGGAGTGACGCTGCCGCCCTGGTGTAGTGGAGCCTGATGAGGCTGGAGTCCGTTGGCACAGCTGGGACTGCCAGTGCAGTGTGGGACTGGGTGCAAAGGGGGAAAGGGTGGGGGAGCAATTACAGAGGCGGGCCTGGTTAGGGGTCCAAGAGGGCAGTTGGCACATAGATGCGGGGTGGTGTGTGCTCTACCTGGTGGACCTGGGTGGAGCCTATAAGTCTCGGGGTTTCAGACACAAACGGGTACAGATACCGTGTGGTGCACGCCATGTGAGCGCGTACCTAGGCCGGGAACGGCCTCAGGCCGGCGTTGCGCATGACAGTGTCGTAGTACATGAGCAGGCCGCCCACAGCCTGGTTGATCTGATCGAAGACACAAGCCGCTTCGCTCTCGCCCGAGGGACGGTCGGTCAGCGACTTGCGGGCCCGGGTTAGTTGCGGAGTACCCGCCGCAATCGCCTGTATGGGGAAATGCACACAAGGGCAGGGACTCGATAACACAATATGCAGCGCCAATCTTGCATGGGCGATAGAGTCTCGCACAGTAGGCGTTTAGGGAACACGTGGGTTACATACCCGAAGCAGCGCCGTCTGGTTCTGCCTCCGCGCAGGGAGGGTCGATGCAAGCTGGCTCAGCGCAGACGAGCGAATGTTGTGTGCGGCGATGGCTTGCGCAGGCTGGCGATGGTTGGAGGTGCGGTATGGCAGCTCGCAGGTCCGGATGTGCGCGTTCTCGTACACCGCGGCCGAGAACTCCCGTGGAAGACCCGCGCGTCGAATGGCCGCAACAAGGTGCCCGCGCCTCCACGTGGAAAGGCCGACTCCACGCTCGGGATCATCCTGCGGTTTAGAGAAAACACGGGACATCATCAACGGCCACCTCAGGCAAGATTGGAGGCGCCAGGGTTAGGGAAAACCGACGCTAACCTGCGAGTCACCGTCTCGAAGTCCCCGAGGGTCACATCGGAGTGGGATGTGGCGCGAATGCACGACTCGTGCCACTGCAGCACCGCCACCAGAGTGAGCCGGTTGATGGCTTCCCCTTCTCCCTCCAGAACAAAGGGCGCGATCCGCACAACACATAGCCAAAACATGCAGCATGAGTGCAAAGGCGTGTAAGGACTCTTATAGATGTTTAGGATGGCGGTGTGACTGCAGCTTGAACAACGCGCACCATCATCACGGACGCGTGCTCTGAATGCCGTGAAGTTCGCACCACTAGCCCAGTAGTGCCCATTGCCCGGCACGCGAAGGCCCGCCAGTCGCGCGTCAGGGTACATGGTGGTCATGCGCCTGCGTTAGTACACAAAGGGCCAAGCATGCCATGTTAAGGGTTAGGGTAACATATTATCTGCCTCGAAACCCTATCAGCGCAGTTCCCGGGTTTAGAACACGCACTCATCTTTCCAGAGGGCCATCTGCAACGACCCTCGAAGGGCTGCTCTGATGTACAGCCAGAATCCAATGTAGATTGCGTGCAGTATGTCCGGCATCTGCGACAGGTAGGTGTTGCCCCATGGTGTTTGGCTGAAATTAAAGCCCGAGTACCACATGGCTGTTTTTATATTCAATATTCTTGAATATGAATTCGCCAAAAACCAAGTTACCACCTAAAGTCCAGCATTCTCTCACAATAGTGATCCGTGATTGGCCAGCGACACTCAAAGTCTTACCGAGCGGAGGTTCACCTGGCAAGGCAGCACTGTTCACTTGAAGTGAACTTGAAAACCATCTGGTACTAAATGCACATCATACTCTACGTAGTTCACTCCCTATCTCTTTTTCCGCCAGTGATTTATCACAGGACGAGATAGAAATGCGTTGTAAAACATGCTCGCTCGTCACTTAGGTGCCCCCGTCGCCTTCGCCAGCCCGCGACGCCTTCGGTTCCTTCACTCCCGGTAGTTGCTTCCTTACGTCACTCTCGCTTCCTTACGTCGCCCACGCTTCCTTACGTCGCCCGCGCTTCCTTACGGAACTCACGTTTCCTTTCGTCGCACACGCTTCCGCTCGTCTCTCCCTTCCATTCGCCGCCCTCCCTTCCGCCCGTCCCCTTCCATCCGCTCGTCGCCCACCCTTTTGTCCGTCGCCCTCCCTGGCGCACGTCGTTCTCCCATCCGCGCGTTGTATCTCCCATCCGCGCGTCGCCCTCCCTTCCGCCCGTCGCCCTCCCTTCCGCACGCCGCCCTCACTTCCGCCCGTCGACCTCCCTGGCGCACGCCGCCCTCCCTTCTGCGCGTCGCCCTCCCGGGAGGGGAGTGCGCGAAGGCGACGGGAGAGAGTGCGCGAAGGCGACGGGAGGGGAGTGCGCGAAGGCGATGAGAGGGAGTGAGCTATGGCGATGGAGGGAAGTGTGAGACATTGACGGGAGAATGGTCGCGTGGGCGACGGAGGGGAGTGAACGTAGGCGACGGCGACGAGTCGCGTGCATTTTCAAACCAATCTACGCACATGGCTTCGCTTTCTAACCCCCTCCAAGCACCAAACTCGTGGTGCAGTGTCGCACAGTTGGGTGACGAGTGCTGAAGCTCGTCGCTGCCTGGTTTCGCTTTCGCACCTGTTCAGTTCTCGAAATGTTTTTTTTATGCCTTTCGCGAACATGATTAAAGCCCTCGCGTCACTGTTGCAAAAACCATGCTGACCTCGGGCTTTAAAGTCCCACAGGAAGCTCTGCAATATGGCGATTTGACATTGGAATTCGGGTTTGAGGCAGGGTAAGAAAGCACGCCGAGTGTACCTTTAGGCAATCGCAGGGCCGATAAACGTAACAACAAATCAATGAATGGGAGGGTTAATCAAACATGTTTGGATGACGTTACCGCGTCTGTTAGTGTCGATAACTTTTTGGCCTCCTCCGGGTCGCCCAGCAATGCCTCCTGCAATTCCACGGTGCGAACATCGGCCGCGTCCCGGTCCATGTCCCGGAGATGTCCGCGGTCAACATAGCAGAGGGAGCATGGCTTGGCGGAACCAAGCTGCTGCGTGCAAGAGACCTTGCACGCCTCAGGGTAGTCAGCCACGTACGAGAAGAGCAGAGGCACGATGAATCTCGTCTCCCCGGACGGATCCTTAGCTGCCAAAGCCCTGCACAAAGCCATGTATAGTAGCCCGTAAGACATAGGCGTGTACATATTGTTCAATATGAGAAACAACGTCTAAAGCGCCTCGCTTGTCAACCTCTACGATTGCATGTAAGGACTAGCATCATTTAAGCTCGGATATTTAGATGAGGACACATTCTTACGTGTGACTCGCGATGATGAGATCGGCGAGTACTATCTTCATAGCAGCCTGGAACAGCTCCACCTTCATCGCGGGGGAAATGTTGTTGGGCGGGAATGGCAGCATGGCCAACAGGATCTTCCCGCAATCAAGCCAGCGCCGTCGAAGAGGGATGTTGGCGATGGAAAGGTACACCGCCCAGACCTTCACGCGTTCTTTCCCGCTCAGAATAGTTGCATCGCTCGATAGTATCAGAGGGACGACCACAGTTCCCTCGCCAAAGAGCTCTACCGCAGCCTTCTGAGTTCTTCCCAGTATGTCGCAGTCTCAGGTGTGGTGTAGACACGGCCGGCGGTAGAGTTCACCTGCCTCGGAAACAGGACGAACCCGTCCGCATTCTCAGGGTTCCTGAACAGCTCCAATACCGCCTGCACGACACACGGAAGACACAGGGTTTAGTTACCAGCGTGTGCGGGGCGACAAGATCTTGCAAACGGCAGAGAAGTGTGTCAGGTTGATAGTGTTTTTTTGAAACTAACCTCTTTACCACTGGTGCTAGTGACATCAAATGGAGTGGTGAACGACGTCGTCGCGTACACTCGCCGCGACATCAGCAGGGTCATCCCAAACTGTATCACCGCATGCAGAGTGCGCCAGTGCCTGATGAGCGCCAGGTTCAGACGTTCATCCCGCAACAGGTTTAGCAGCCATACGGTGCTCTCGTTCGAGAGCCCCGCGCCGTTATTGCACCCCACGATGAAACGGAAGACCTCCATCAGCGTGTCAAAATAATCGCACCGCTGAAACATCCCTTCCGGCTCGTCTTCGGCACCATCCAGCATGGCAGTAGCATCTCCTTCTTCATCAGATTCCGACTCATCACTCTCCACTGTCATGCCGTCCACGTCCTGTGGGACCAGTACAAAGCGAGGTTATCATCGTGAATGAACCAGCGGGGAATCAAACCGTTTAGCAGACATGTTACCATACGGCACGAAACGCGACCGTCCCGACGATGAATTACCGGATTTTAAGCTTTGATTTGTAGTATAATAGGTTCCGTTAATTGTATGCTGTTAACAAACCTTGGTGACTGTTAGCGAAACACAGGAGGCTAAACTCACCTCTATTAGGCGCTGAGACCGTATACCATTCTATTCAAGTGCAAGTACCTCAACATCCGTAGTCACATGATGTGCGCCAGCAAGTACCGCTCTGCGTGTTACGATTGGCCGGTGGTGGCCGTCAAATGCAGCATTACCATGTCGCGCTGGCCGTGTTGGATGACGCATACACGAGCCACGGGGACAGGGCATTCGAGATTGTGTCCCGCACCTATTTTCGCGCGCTTCTACCTTGTCACCCTGAAGTATGCCATGTGGGGGAACGAAAAATCTGCGACCCTATCCGCCACACTGTCCATAATATCAACCAATACACGTCATCCACGGGTTCATGACACGTGCACACGGATCTGACGACGACACGGCGACAACGGTGGGCTTACACGTGTTTTCTTATCCCGAGATAATCTCCCTTGTGTATGCCAGCGCACCCGTCTGAACCCCCCCAGCAGCCATGGCGAGGTTACTATATCAGAACCCCCATTGTGATGCATTGCCACCGTTTCTGTAATCAATCTCTCAAGCCCTGGTATGTCTGCAGGAATGGAGCCCGCAAGCTCTCCCTACTCGCCATGTCGCCGCTCTGGCAGGCGAAACGCTGGCGTACGGAGTAACAACGAAGACATGGTCTTTTATGGACCTGGAACTACCTCGCCACGCCCCAACAGTCGCAATGGGCGCGACTCCTCGTCCGGGGTTGGGAACGTACGGAACGACCAGCTGCCTTCGGATTCGGGATACATGCCGTGGGCGGATCGCGTGGACGTTGAGGATTTGGAAGATGACGACGTGGAGGACACATGGATGCCTGAGGAAGAACCGGTCGACGAAGACGCCGAAGGTATGATGGTAACGACATTCCTTTAGTCTTTTGCTTTTACGTCATGATGGCTTGTTGCTTTGATAGTTTTTTTGTTCTTGCATACTACTAGTAGTATGCGCGCTAACGTACATATCCCCGTTCTCATACCTCCAGCCGAACTGCGCAACCAGCGTTCAATCTCGGAGGTGGTGGCTGCCTCGTTGCCTGCCGCATCCGAGGAGCAACGCCCAGGGGCGCGAGGCCCCACACTGCCATCTGAGACGCGCCCGGGGGGAGTTGCACGCCATGCGGCCCCTGATGCCCCGGTGGATGCCGCGATGGCTGCCCGCGTCGCCGAACAAGAGCGCCGCATTCTTGAGCTCAACCAGACCATCAATCGTCTCGAGGGAATCCCCCGGGCAGTTGCTCGCAACAGTGTGACGCGCACACCCAACACCAACTGTCGTGTGCGTGATGGCGCGTCTGATACTCCAGCACCTACTTGACAGCGCACGGCCTCTGGGAGGCTTGAAAGTCGCACGGCTGAGCAGCGAGACGAGCCCTTGGCACCCATGGTTGAAGCTGCTCTCAACCGCGAGGTTCGTCAGGCGAACGCGGGGGGTGTTGCTACGGCAGGGATGCTGAACTGGGCAGAACGCCTCCAGCAAGCGCACAAGCTGATTCCTAACATGGATGACGGCTGGAAGGTAATTTGCTGA